AAAAAAATAAGTTTAAAAAAAATCACCTGACATATCATAAGTAAAAAACAAAAAAAGAAAGTACAGAAAGTTCCCATGTATCTCTTTCCCCCTTACCCAACAGTTTCATCTATTATTAACATCTTGCATTAGTGTGGTACATTTGTTACAATTGATGAACCAATATTGATATATTATTACTAACTAAGGTCCATAGTTTACATTAGGGTTAACTCTTTGTGTTTTACAGTTCTATATGTTTTGCCAAATGCATGTCATGTATCCAGCATTGTAGTATAGTTTCACTTCTCTAAGTATTCCTTGTGCTCCACTTACTCATTCCTCCCCTTCCCCCTAACCCACCATGTTAACCCCTGGAAGCCATTGTCTCTATTATTTGTCTTTTCCAGAATGTATGTATGGAGTCATACAGACTCTTACCTTTTTCAGACTGGCTTTTTTTCATTTAACAATAAGCATTTAAGTTTCCTCCATGATGTTTCATGGCTTGATAGCTCATTTCTTTTTATCACTTAATAACATTCCATTGCATGGATATACCATAGTTCGTTTAGCCATTCACCTATTGAAAGACATCTTAGTTGCTTTGAATTTGGGGGAATTAAAAATAAAGATGTTATAAACATCACATGCAGGTTTTTGTATGAACATCAGTTTTCAACTCATTTTGGCAAATAAGTAAGGGTATATTTGTCTTTGTAAGAAGCTACCATGCTGACTTTCAAAGTAGCTGTACCATTTTGTATTACCACCAGCAATAAATTAGAGTTCCTGTTGCTTCACATTCCTCATCAGCATTTGGTGTTGTCAGTGTTTCGGATTTTAGCCATTTTAATAGGTGTGCAATGGTATCTAACTGCCATTTTCATTTTCAATTCTCTCATGGCAAAAGATGTTAAATATCTCATGCTGATTTTTCATCTGTATATCTTCTCTGATGAGGTGTCTGTTCAGATGGTTTCCCACTTTTTAATTGGGTGGCTTGTTTTCTTATCGTTGAGTTTTAAGAGTTCTTTGTATAGTTTGGAAATATGGCCTTTATCAGATACATGTTTTGCAAAGATTTTATCCCAGTCTGAGTTTGTCTATTCATTTTCTTAAGTTGCCAGATATTTTTAGGGAATGGTTTTGTAGGACATGAGTTTTTGTTTTTGTTTTCAGAAATGCATGCATTGTTAAAGAAGAAACACTTGTATACTTGATATCAGATTTCTAAAACTAAACCAGCTAAACTGAGCTCACACCTCTCATAAGCAAAGCTAAGATGAGTGAGTATTTAGTGAGATTGGAAAGAGTCTACAAAGGGACCTTATCTCAATACTACATAAAAGTTGGTATAAAATAAGTTGAAGCTAGTGGCTATTGTATAAAACAGTACTTAAAACTATGAAGATTTTAAGGACAGATTATAAACCTGATATTTTGAGGACTGATTAATTTCAATATTTTTTACATAGTATTCTGTATACACAGTAATTCTTATATGACTGCCCCCAAGACTTTAGATGATGCTCAAAGCAATAAACAGTTGGGAAGAGTAAGATATGATTTTTCAGAAATGTTTTTGGCACTAGTTTCCAGAAATACTAGGAGTCCAGATGCAGAAATCAAGGTTGAAGTAAATGGACACTTATGCAAGCCTATATTTCCTTAATGACTTTGGGACTGTCAGACAGAAATACCATGCATAATCTGAAGGATACTTTGGGAAATTCACAATTGAGATTTGTTAATGGACTCAAAAGAATAATATAAATTACAAATGTTTTTATATATTTAACCTTATTTAGAGATGCAGGGATTCCTGCATCTAACAGACACAATGAATGAATGGATGGATGAACAAATAAATATAGTTATTCTCTCCTTTGTTTTGGGATACCTCCCTCAGAATATATACCAAATGGCTTAGACACTGTACCAAATATTACTTACTGATACTCAGCATCATCCTCACGCTTCTAATCTCTCCCTTATATGACATTTCTCAGACTCTGTTGCCAGCAGTATTCCAACCTAAATTCTACTAATGAGAGGCACTGGTATAAAATTTAAGGGGAGGGAGAGGAGAAACCACCAATCTCAGCAGAAGCAACCTTGTACGCATCAGCAAATGGCAGATGAGATTTACGCCAGCAGCTTCTGGGCATAAGGAAGTTCTGAAACTTATCTGCTGCCACATGAAACAAAGATGCCTAGATCTCCTGTAGCCATCTTGGGCCATAGGGTGACCTTAAGAATGTTAGCCGCACACTAGGATGGTGAAAGGTTAAGACAGAAGAAACCTGAGTTCATGGTCATTGTGGGGCTACAGTGTATCTGCTCTGGAATGCCTCCCTCTGCACTGTTTTTACTTAAAAGGGTAATAAGTTCTATCTTGTTTAAGACACTGTTATTTCTAGGCTCTGTTACCAGCAGGTGAACACAATTCCTAAATGATACACATATTAAAGTATTATTTGAAAATATTTTGGAATTTTAGGGTTAAGTTTCCAGATATGTATAATGGTTCTCCCTCTCTCTCCTTTCCGCCTTCCTTCTGCTACTCTATTACAAACACCTGTAAACACACACACTTCAATTTGTGAGATAAAACTATGTGAGGTTGTATCAGTAATACATTTTGTACAATTGCAAAGGAAAGATTTTGCAGTAGGAATTGTGAGAAGATAAAAGCTAAAGCATTGACTCGAGGATTTTTCAGTATGTGTATATGGACTAAAAAAAGTAAATAAGGAAGGAAGGAAAATATAGAAATGGAATGTAGCAATAGGATGTTAGTAAATTTTTTATGTTTTTATTTTTTTCAGGTTTAAGGTACATACAATATCAATAGCAAGCGAGGGAGGCGAGATCAATCTACAGAGCACTCAGACGGAATAGTAGGTATTAATCATTTTGTCTTCAGAAGCTGCCCCAGTTCTCTCCATCTTTTGAGATTCAGCTCTTCTAGGAAGTTCTCACGGCCCCCCCTATAGAAATTAACCTCTGCTGTTTATGCATTTATTAGGACTAGGGCTAAAGTACAGTGAGGGAGGTGTTTGTCTTAGGCACACCATTTAAGGGATGCCAGAAAGCTCAGTAATCAAGATAAATATTTTAATGAAATATTTTAATTACCACACTACAGCATGCAAGCCAGTTTCCTCTTTTTCTAAATAAATTTTTAATTACACTTCACATTTATCTCTATTACAGCACTCAAACAGTGCTTTTTATAAATGTTCTCTCCCAACAGAATAGGCTGTACTCATTTTTGTATTCCTCATATGCCTACTACTCTATTTTAAGCATAAAGACCTCCTAAAAATATTAAATTGAATCTACTGAAGGATTTTGCAAGAATATACTATATTAGAGACTGCAGGGTTAAGTTTTTATCTTAATTCAACAATAGCCAAAGAATAACGAGTGATGAATGTTTTCAAAGTACCTGAAATTCAGTTCTATGAATATCACCTGACTTCTCTTTGACTAAAAACCCTGCTCAGCCTGGAGAAAGGGAATTGTAATACTACTTTATATTCATATAGCACTCTGCCCTACATAAAGTGTTTTCTTTTAATCCTCATCTTAATCTTGCTAAGTAGGTATTATTATCCTTATTTATTATGGAAAGATTGAGAAGTTAAGTGATTTGCCCAAGGAGTTACAGGCAAAAAGTGTCAGAGCTGGGGTTCTAACCCAGGTTTTTTGTGTCAAAATCCAATGCCCTTTCTGTACTCGGAATGCTAAATCTTAGGGGGATTGACTGAGGAGAAACAATTCATGCAGCAACTATAATAGCCTGTGTTGTATGTATGAAACAATGTCAGTAGCACCCTAAACAGCAGTATTTTACCAATCGTACTCATCATGATTAAAATTGTCCTGATTCTTATGTGTGTGTGTTTGATGAAGTATCTCAACTCTTCTGGCATAGTGTTGGATGTTTTGTGGCATTTTTTAGTCCAGGGAAAAAACCTACACATTGAAATGTCAAAGAATGGGGGAAAGTGAAGAAATTGTGTATTACCTGAGTGTTAGTTTCTAATACAGCTTTACTGCTAATGTGTGCATGATATTCTGCAAAGCATGTAAATCATACATGTTTGTCTCTTTATGAAAAGAAAGATTTGGTAAAGTCTTTGAACTTTTCAGCTGAAAACGTTTATTTCAACATGAAATATTATTATAGTACTCCCAAGTTAGGAATTAAATTTAATGGGTTTCTTTTTCATACTTAGAGGAAAAACTCTATGACTATATTTTTAAATTCCATACGGTAATTAAATTTGTTTGAGAACCTATAACTGCTTCAAATATAATTTCCATCAGTATATAATAAACACAACCCAAAACCAAAATGTCCATTATTGGCCAATCTAGTAGAAGATTTCTTATGAAAACTATAGTTTCTCCTCATTGATTGCTACCTGGAGAATTAAAAACTTTAGTCTTTTTGTAAGCTCATGGCGTCATTCTCAAGAACAACCAGAACTCAAAGAAATTCAAAGCCATTCATTCTGGTGAATTGCAACCTGTCATTAATAACTATTTATTGAATGTCCACAGGGTGCATAGGCATTGAAGTGGCAAGTGATTCATTTGCATTATTCAAAGGATTTCTAAGGAAGTCCAAAGATTTGAAGACGTTTTTAAAGATGCAAAGCTGTGTGTGCTACTCTAATTTAAACTGCCCCTACACGGAATGGTTAGAATAGTCTGGGTTTGAGAACTCTAGGGATTTCAAACACCCAGAGCCGACTTTTTTAAGCGAAGGCCCCATTGGGTGCCAAACGACAGATGGGGCTGGTGGTCAGAACACGGCCCCACCAGGGGCTTCTGGACAAATCAAGCCCTCCCCGGGCTGGAGCAGGGCCGATTGCTGCCGCGTCGGTCATGACCCGCCACCCGATCCCATCCCTCCCTCCCCTC